CTGAGTACCGCTTCAGATCACGTACTTGCCACTCTCTAATCTTCAGTTTCAGTCTTCGACATTAGCTGAAGATTCTTTGGTGTGAGTGTTGTCTTCTTGAAGTATCGTTGTCGCTGATTGAATTACAATACAAGTTCTTCAGCGATCACTGAACAGGCTCAGTGAAGATCGCTGGAACTGAAAAGACAAAAACATGAATACTTCGTATAAGTGAAAAAGAATTATCATCAAATCACTGAGAGAAATTATCAACATATAGATACATACATTTCGTAAAAACACCATATATATATATATACATACAAAAAATTATATTTACATGCATACATATTTATACAAACCGAAATATATATATATATATATATATATTCAAAAAATTGGAAAATTTTACCGGTTGTTCTATAGTGCTAGGTGATTGTTCCACGGTTGGGGTGGCGGCAAATAGTGGTCGATGGCAGAATATGGTGGTTGGTGGCTGCAAACGGTTGTGGATGGCGACAGAAGGTGGTCGGTGGCGGCGGAAGGTGGTGGATGACGGCGATGGACGGTGGTTGTTGGCGGCAAAAGATGGTCGGTGTCGTGAAACGGTGGTGGATGACGATGGAGGATGAATGGTGGTCGTCGGTGATCGGTGATCGATGGAGAAACGTGATTGAAGAAGTCAATGCTCGGTTTTTCTAGAGGTGGATGTCGGTGGGGATGGTGATAATGGTCCCCCGACCACTTATTTATATAAACTATTATGTAATTAGACAAAATACATCGCTAAATCGGCGTCAAATCATAGACACTAAAAAACGAAATAGCAGACAAACTACGTAAATCAAATATAATATCTGATTTTTATCCCCCAAATCAGATACAAATAATTTTTTTCGTGTCCACAATTATTATAGAATATCAACATTCGGTGTTTATAAAAAAATATATTTCTTATAAGAAAATATAAGAACATTCGTTGGTTAACTTATGCGTTTCAAAAAAATTGGTAAAATTATTAAATCTTCACATATTTTCATATTGTTTTAAGGGTTGTGACGGTAGATTGTGTTTACGAGTTGCGGGTTGTGAGAGTAGAAATATTTTATTTTATAGAGTAAAACCATGACATTTGGTCATAAAACAGTTAAAAAAACCACTATAAATCGTCCCCTATTTATTAAACGCACCCCTTAATTGTCAAATCGATTTAGACACTAAAAGATGAAATAGCGGTTAAACTACGTAAATCAGATATAATATCTGATTTTTTTCCCCCAAATCAGATACAAATAATTTTTTTGTGTCCATAATTATTATAGAATATCAACATTCTGTGTTTATAAAAAATATATTTTTTATAAGAAAATATAAGAACATTCGTTGGTTAATTTATACGTTTCAAAAAAATTGGTAAAATTATTAAATCTTCACGTACTTTCATATTGTTTTAAGGGTTGTGACGGTACATTATGTTTATGTGTTGCAGGTAGTGATAGTATAAATGTTTTATTTTATAGAGTAAAACCATGACATTTGGTTCTAAAACAGTTAAAAAAACCACTCTAAATCGCCTCATATTTATTAAAAGCATCCCTTAATTATCAAATCGATTTAGACACTAAAAGACGAAATAGCGTTCAAACTACGTAAATGATATATAATATCTGATTTTTGTCCTCCAAATCATATACAAATAATTTTTTTCGTGTCCACAATTATTATAGAATATCAACATTCGGTGTTTATAAAAAATATATTTCTTATAAGAAAATATAAGAACATTCGTTAGTTAATTTATGCATTTCAAAAAAATTGGTAAAATTATTAAATCTTCACCTACTTTCATATTGTTTTAAGGGTTGTGACGGTAAATTATGTTTACGGGTTACGGGTTGTAAGAGTACAAATGTTTTATTTTATAAAATAAAAACATGATATTTGGTCCTAAAACAGTTAAAAAAACTCACTCTAAATCGTCCCTTATTTATTAAAATACCCCTTAATTGTCAAATCGATTTAAACACTAAATAACGAAATAGCGGTCAAACTACGTAAATCAAATATAATATCTGATTTTTGTCCCCCAAATCAGATACAAATAATTTTTTTCGTATACACAATTATTATAGAATATCAACATTTATTGTGGTAAAAAATATTTCTTATAAGAAAATATAACAACATTCGTTGATTAATTTATGTTTTTTTCAAAAAATGGTAAAAATTATAAATCTTCACGTATAATCATATTTTTTAAGGGTTTTCACGGTAGATTGTGTTTACGGGTTGTGAGAGCAGAAATGTTTTATTTTACAAAATAAAACCATGACATTTGGTCCTAAAAAGGTTAAAAAAAATTTAGATCGTGTTATATATATTAAAAACACCTCCTAATTGATATACACTAAAAGACAAAATAGTGGTAAACAGTGAGGTGGGGGCGATCCCCATTATAAGGTAAACAGTGTTTGGTTTCCTAAAGTAGATACATGTGGGTTCCACCAAATTAATTTTTTATCATTTTTTTCGTACTATTTGGTAAAACTTGAGCGGATCAACCCCCCCCCCCCCCCCCACCCCTAGGGACGATCCATATGGTCATTTTGGTAATTTTTGTAAAAATTGCCTATTTCGTTAATACATCAGATATATGTGGTCGTTTTGGTGATTTTCCCATATGTTCATTTTATTTTATAGTTAATCTATTTTATGTTCTTATATTGTGTTTTGTTGCTAAACTAGATAACTTTACCACGCTTCGCACGATCGCTGTTGATTGATAAAAGAAAGCATCGATAAGTTTGAATTCGAAATAAAGTGTTAAAAAGTATCACAATAATTATAGTACAATTTTATTTCTGAATGTTTTATTTTGTTAGAATAAAAAGAGTTGAAATACGTTGGTTGTAGAAAAATGAATATGTAAGTTTGAATTCGATATAAAAGTGTTAAAATATATCACAATAATTATGGTACAATTTTATTCTCTGAAAGTTTTATTCTGTTAGAATAAAGAGAGTTAAAATATATTGGTTGCAGAAAAATGAATATATAGCGTAAAAAAAGTTTAAATTGTGAAATGACAAAGAATACATTCTATAGATATAGAACTAATTTCTTGTTTTTAGTTGTCTTATTATTATAAGGATAAAGAGATGTCCAATATATTGCTTGTGAAAAAATAAAAAAAATAATTAATAAATAACATATGTCAATTCGGTTTTTATTATTAGGTGTAAAGTCGAATATTGCATTTTTTTATGATGAAAAATCCAATTAATTGTGACATGGAACGTGGTTATAGTAGGAAATTATCATATTTTTTTCCTTCTATGAATATCACGAGTCCTAAAAAATGTAATAGAAGATAAATAATTAATTGTTTACAAAAACAATCTGCAATCTTTAAAAATGAAAATAACAAAATTACCAATCCGAGATATTTAGATCGACTTCAAAGTCCATATATTGTGGAAAATTAAGGTAGTAATTCAAAATGAAAGCATACCATTCCACATTTTGTCCAGTCTCATGGAGATATTGGGGCATCTAATTGGTTTTCTCGGAACTTCAGAGATGAAGGAAACACACCAGCAACTGATTTTGCATAGACTTTTCTTGTTCCTCCTTATATGGTTTCTCTAATCTCCTTCAGTTTGCTTCTAATTGCAAACAACAGAATAGATAGAGAGATCGAGAAAATAGAAGTAAAAAACCCATAATTATGGCTCCATATCTATCTATATATGCATAGAAAGATAGAGGCGTACCGCCAGCTATGCTGTCAATCCATAATTTCTTATCAGGATCGAGAAATGGAGAAGAGCAAAGAAGTTTAGGATAGAAAGATGTAGAAGAGAAGGAATTGTAACGGTAGAAGATAAAGAGTAAAGAAGTTTATGATAGAGAGACGTAAAAGACAAGAAATTATAATGGTAGAAGATGAAAAATAAAAGCTTTTGATTAAATATAAAACCTAAAATAAAAGAGAAAAATTGAAAAAAGAAAAAGAAAAACATGAAATACTAATATAAAGAGATGTCAAGCTAACATTGTGTTGAGAGAGAGAGAGAGAGAGAGATTATTTAAGTAATAATTTTAGTGGGTTTTATGTGGTTGAAAGGCCAGCAAGGATGACATCAACGGCCTAAAAACTTTAATCTTAGAAAAAGAAATCATCAAATTACCTACTAAGTTGTCAATCAACCACAACTGAGGGCAGTTCACCAAACGCATAGTGTGTAACCGTTTACTACAAGTGTCACCACCTCACTTATCTTACTATATAACATTCTCAGCCATCAAATCGAATTATTTATAAGCATCGTTTACTCGATAAACACTAACTAGATAAAGAGTATTCTCCCTCACCGCGTAAGAACTTCGATTGTTGTCTTGAGTTTTAACGGGTAAAATTTTCGTTCCATATCGTCCTCACCCAGTAAGGTAAGTGAACCTGCAGTAAGCGCTTATGCGATAGCCTTTGGTAAAGCTCGGTTGTTTCTAGTAGATTTCAGTTGAGTTTATTATTCCCTTTATAGAATATGGTTAGAGTTTCAGGGTTAGATTTCAGTTAGAAGGAGAGTTAATGTAAGAAGGGATCTTTACCCTTTGATACACATTAGGATGAGATACACTCAATTCCCGTAAGATTTGCAATTTATGGGTGGACAAGAGATTAAAAGTGATCAAGGACCCAGATCATTCCTTACCCTTCTCACACGATCCTTGTTCTAGAGTTTCATGAGATGGAAGATATCTTTTGACTTTGTTTTTATGATATACCTTATGAAGACAAGATTTGGAGTACCAAATGATCAATTGAACATTGTTTTAATCACACAAACAGGCAAAGTATTCGAATCCGGTAGCCACAGTGTGCGAGTTACAACTCCTATTTAAATCGTTGCAGGCATTGGGCTCTTAAGCTGCCGACATATTGTACCTATGATACTCATGGGTGGGTAAAGGTTGACGGTTAAGAAACGATTGCAAGCAATAAAAGATGGACTAGGAACTCTCTCAAATTAGGTCAGTTCTTTTTGGTTATCAACACTTGAAACTTGTGGAAAATCACACAGTAACTGTAGTTCAGTAGCATGAACAATATATGGCTTATTTCACGACAACCAAGTCGTAATGCCAAAAAAGAAAATACGATTGATAGCTGCCATGAATAGAAAAGAAAAGGATCACCAACTTACTTGACTACTTGCCTGAATTTAACGATGCAATCCAAAGCACGGTCAAAATCACCATCTTCCAGGGCTAACGTGAAACGGCAATAGCCTGGAATCCCAGTCCATGAAGCTCCGTTGATACACAAACCAGTGGCTCTCAGCATTGCTTCTCGGATGTTGGTGTCATTCAGTTTGGCTTCCCATGTAGAACCATCTTTCTCGAGCTTAAAGCTTTTGCCAAGATAAGCAGATGGCTTTGCAATTACAGAAACGCCCCCACATGCTTCAACCACTTCCCATCCGCAACTCTTGAGTGTCTGCTTATAGTACATGCAAAACAAGCAATGCATTACTACAAGTTTTCTGGCATAAATGGATCATCTTAGTTCAACGTTTTCATTTTCTGGATCCCCTTTGATATGATTGGGTCCTTAAAAATTTAGATATGGCCCACAAAACGAAAAATGAAGAACAGAGCCCTTCATCATGAGCAACCAAAATTCAGTCCAAATGTAGCAGGAATAATTGTCAATAGGATATGGGCAAAGGAATTAAGGTACACGAAAATACGTGGATTACGTAGGAGATAACCTTCCGACATTTTTATTAAATGCACGACTTTCAAACAGATTGTGTTAGGAACACGTATTCTTAAACGAGAAGAGGGTCAACTTGCAAGAAGGGCCAAATCACATGTAATCACATTGATGCAAACACATAATCACGTGATACGAACACGTCGCTTTGACTGGCCATCACGCAGGCGACTTATCCTGCGACCTTGTTCGCATTGACCAAGCCGCCCACGTCCTTTTGGATGTGTTGTATCACATGTGATTTTCTATAACATGTGATACGCCCCTTCTCGTACCTCTTGCAAATTGACCGACTTCTCATATGATCCTCCATCTATATTAATATTATATAATATACATATATAGGATTAGGTTATGATGAGAAGGGAAGTTATGGTGAGAAGCTAAGAAGAGATCTCCACCCTAGAATCAGTCCTAATTGAATGTCAACACTAATCAGGTGCACCGAGATGCACCGGATCAATTCCCTTCTAAAGCGCAAATCATGGGCTGGCATGAGATTGAAAGTGATCAAGGGTTCAAATCTCTTCTTAGGCTTCTCATTATAACTTCCCTTCTCACACGATCCTTCACCTTACATATATATAGGGGCAGGTTCAAAAGAAAACGGTAACTATTTAAGAAAACAAAAAAAAAAGGTTGTTAATGTACAAAATCATATATGACTCACGTAACAAATCATATATGATCCAGGCGACTTTCCCAGCGACTTAAGTGGCCTCAAAAGTCGCCCCCTTCAAATTTTGGTGTAATTTACATGTGATTTTGTACATTAACCACTTTTTTCTTGTTTTCTTAAATAGTTAACGTTCTCGTTTGAACCTTCCTCTATATTTATACTATGGTATAAAGCATTTGATAAAAACTCTTAAAAACCATTTTTTATGTATGAAGTACTGTTTATTGATGCATATTACTTACAATTCAAAATTATAAATAAATTGTGTGTAAGTACAACTTATTGAAGTTTCATGTTTGAATTCGTGTAACTAACTACGAATAAACATAGTCAAATACAAGATAAACATTTTATTGCAAATATAAAACATCTAAAATATAATTAGGATAATCATTGAGTTCTAATAGAATACTTAATTATTATCCTTATAAAAAATTATATTATTAAATCAAGAATAAATTTTAAATCTAAATTAAATTATAATAAAAAAAATTGAATTAAAGAAATTACACAAAAAACAAAAACTTTTAAATGGTTAATTTGATACTAATATTGATATATTTATTTTCGAAATTTTATGATATCTTTAGATTTATATTTTATTCAAAAATAAAACATTATCCGTTTCTCAAAACCACATGAAAAACATATTATAACATCTGTAGAGACGGAATAAAATGAAACATTAGAATCTGTAAGTACCCTTCTAGTATATATATATATATATATATATATATATATATAAAATGAACGAATGAAAGGAAGTAATTATTTCATGATTGGTACATTAAACATGTAAGATAAATACATTCTAAAAACCTAAGTTCATGCTTTTACTCTTACTTACTGTGTCCATATTAGTCCAGACAATCAGAAAAGGTAACTTGTATCATTTTTTCTTCCTGTTTCACAATAACAAATCTAAGTTCAATTTCTATTTTAGCCTTTGTTTCTAATCTTAGAAATTGTGACTAGAAGCACCCCTGCTTCCTAGATCATTGTGAGTGGTTTATAAAAAAAGTATATACTGCAATGGAAAAAAAAAAGATATTCATGATGCATGTAAATCAATTTGCTAAATTGAATGTTTACCTCTTTCAAACGATTCAATCTAGTAGCCAGAAGTTTCCCCTGTCCTTCAACAGCATCTGTTAGATCTCCTACGTTCTGCTCTCTAAGATCTAGCAATTTCTTTGCAGTATATCTAATAGTGCTGTGAGGTTTGTTTAACCCCGAGAAGCTGTGAAATGCATCAGCCAAAAATCGATGGTTTAGAACTAGAAATCCGTATGCAAGCCCTCCAGTAGGCATCTTGAAGAACAACCCTCCAAGCAGACACACACTGAAAGACAGCTTTCCAGATGAAGTTAATTTTGTTAAAATTCCATCCAAATTCCAGCCATTCCAACCCTTCAAGTTGAATTCGACCCCTGAGAATGAAGTATCTATAATGACCCTTGCGCCATATTTAGCACAAACTGTCAGCAAACTTTTCATCTCTTCATTGCTGTAAAGCAAGCCTGTAGGGTTTATTGTTGGACCAGAAATATAGACCCATGGTTTACTAACAGTCTCCAATACACTAGTAAGTTGCTTCTCCGTTAGCTTGAAACCTGTTTCAGCTTGGGTAGGGATAGAAACAATTTTTGCGGCTAAAAACTTGGCAGCTGATACATAATTGCCATTTGATCCAGCTGGTATGCATAGGCTTCCCCCTTCTTCAATGCAGCAGAGAACCATCTTATTGAAAAGGGCTAGCGGAAAGTCTGCATATATGAATTCTGCACTGTAATCAGCTGAGAAGCCATACGCATCCTTGATAAATTGCCTAATGCTGGGCGTAACATCACACTCTGATTCTGTCACATTCTGCCTTGCAAAACTTTCAAAGATGGCAGCCTTAACTGGGGTTGGTGTAGGAAGAAATATTTGATCCACATCCATGTGAATCAGAGCCGATTTATCTGTCTCTCTAACTGATAATTCCGCCTGACTCAGAACCGAGATTACAGAACATGAAAATCCTATCATCTCGCTAGATTTCACATCCTCAACTTGCCTCTGAAAAACATGAAATTAAGGTCAAACTCTTAAACTGTACTTGCTCTCCAGAAAAACAAAAGGCGGTTAATATGTATAAAGCATCATGGATCAACGTCTAAAAGTTTCTCAAAAAGTCGTGATATATCTAGTTACAAGTTAACAAGGGGCTGGATTAGGGTTCAATCCTGTTGGACCTTGTGTCAATTGAGGGATATGCCCGTTGGCTAGAAGGCCTATAATTTATGTGCAGGGAATGTTTTGCATGAACCTTATGGATAAGTTGTGTCGAGAAAGCTATATACTATCGTTTCATAAAATCAAGACGACGAGGATTTTCAGTCCTCTGCTCTACCAACTGAGCTATCCCGACTATTCCAAGTGTCATGTATTTGTGGATCTGCACACATCAACTTGCTTCTCCTTGAAAGCAGAAACATGAACAATATAGGTTTGTTTTTCAAAGCTTTTTCCTACAATCATACATTTCCTTGCAATTGTGCTTGTATAAATGTTTTTACTTCTGCAAACCCAAAATGAACTCAGCATTCCCATTCCTTGCATGGCATCCATACAGAAGAAAAAAAGTGGTTTTTGCAGGGCATGTGATATATAGAAACATGATCAGTTTAATTCTTCAAGTACAGGAAGTAAACCTCTGCAGGTGGATGTCTATCAGGAAGCTTAAAGGACAGAAGCTCATGGAAAAGACAGCCATAATAATATTGGCTAATCAAGGCAGTATTGCCTTGTAGCAGTTCCACACTCTTCGACAATGCGTCAAAAATGGTTTTCTCTTCTGATATCACAAAAGCTACTTCGAGATCTGTATAAACCTGGAAAATGAGTGGCTAGGATGATTAGAGAACACAATAAAGATAAACTGTATGATTAAACTAATTGAATTTAACTGACTGTGAATTCAAGAGATTCTTGATGGTTAACAACTGCACACATAATGGATGCTTATATAATTATCCTTTGCTGATCAAAGAAGAAACATACCTGATTTCTTAACAAGCCACATATAATGACCACATGAGAAGGCAGTGGAGTTCTAGCAAGATATTTCAAGACCCCAATTGAACTGGGAAGGCTGGAAAGCTCAAACTGGTCAGATATGTCTATGAAAAGACGAGATCCGATTTCCCTTGTAGTACGCAGAAGGTGTTCAAAAGCTGAACTAGTAATGGCCTCGAATTGGGCAATTCCTGTGACCACCACTTGTGGCCTTAACTTTTTTATCAGCTCTATCATCAAATCTGACTGGCGTGGTGCTTCAATAACAGTGATTTCATCTGCTGAAGTTCTGTTGTCCTTTTTTTGCTTAAAGAAACATAAAAGTAAAATTAGGTCTTCGAAGAAACAACATTTTCACTCTCCACATTACACAGCCGTTGTCACATAATATACAACAGGCAATCTTAATAGTATAATACATGCCTAGACAAGCTAAAAGAATAAAACATGATCCATGTATAAAATCCGTTAAGAAACCTACTACATGGGTGGGGGAGGATGGTGATGTGGATCTGTTAATGTGATGAATTATCTTTGAAACATTGTTTTATATCCTTCATGGCATAAAAAGTGAGCATCGACAACAAAAATACAACAAAGCTTCATTTATTTAGTAATGCTTTAATTAAGACATACAACCATATATGTGGATTATACTTGGACGCATATCTGGTCTAAAGATTCAATGGTTTTACAATGAAGCTTGAAATGGAAGCAATACAGAAAGTAAAGTTCTTAAAACACATAAATGAGAGTTTCATCAGGGTTTTCGTATGGAGTGGCTGTTGGAGGAAAAACAAAAAGCAAGATGGTGGCTTGGGTTTTCAGACTCTAAGAAAGAACTCTAGACCTGCCAACATATGAAGTTATATGAAAAAGGGACATATTTTCAGATACAGCATTTTGAAAATACTATGTTGTAACGCCCCCAGAACCCCGTAGCAATGATATTGTCCGCTTTGGCTAACCTGCCCGCTTAACCACAAAGCAGTAGCTGCACGGTTTTGTTT